AACAACGCAGAAAGTACAGGGGCCGATACAACAAAGCCACCAGTACATGTATAGGGTCGTCTTTTTAGGTGTATAAGATATTTATGTATATATAATTGTAGAGACATTTTGTTTTGGTGGTCAATATGTTAAGAGAGCTTGGAATTTTATAACACATGGAGCTTATATTTCTTAGGGATGTTAGAAGAAGAAGGAATGTTTATACATATACTTACAAAAAGTGTTTGTGCTTGAATAAAGATAAAGATTAAAACAGCCATATTTTCTGATTCAACTATGATGAGCTTGAGCCAAACACTTCCGTGTGTCGTTATATGTGCTGTAATTAATTGCCAATCCTTATGAGTTTAAGAGGGATACTGTAATAAAGGGAGGAAAGACATAAAGATTAGCTTTAGCTAGGGCTGTTTTGTGACCTCGTTTATGTCACATTGACATAACTGGGAAAGGTCATGGACTCATAAAATGATATAAATTTTTATGTTTTTGTTTTTTTGCTACTGATTACTTTCTGTCATTCTATAAGTTATAGTACTGAACATGAATGATAATCAATCGTATGTTTAAATCCCTAGGTACGAGTCGGTGAGTAGGTAATGAGTCAGTGAGTGATCTAGGAGTTTGTGAGTGTGAAAAGTCTGTAACTTTTTGAAAACTAACTTGTCGGAAGCCCGATAAACTAGAATTATGAAAAATATTTTCGTCAATATTGCACAAAAGAAGCATTTGTTTATTTTGATATAGTGCTTAATTCATTTAAATAAATATGTTTTACACAGCTTTTTGACCTCAGTGGTAGAGACTTATGACGCAGATCTAGAGTTCGGATGGCAGAGCAGCCAACGGTAAGTGTACACGACAAACTCCAATGTGGTGTACACAACTGTTATAAACTAAAATTCTGTATCTTTACTCCTATTAAAACATCAATTAACTCACTCAAATACAGTATTGTCCCTCTCGATCCAACTGCACGAGAATATTCCTAGTTCATACAAGAATTTTAAGTTTGATGCGCACATGAGTTTGTTTCTAGGACTATTCTCTTTCATTCAAACGAAATGTACTTACATAGAATTAAAGAACAAGTGTCCGATTACTTATACTGTTTGGCTGAAGTACGATACATTTCACAGTCTTATAAAACTACATATGTATACTACATGGTGTGTACATTTAATTGTACATGAATATACAGTACCAATGAAATGAATATTTTTTTGTCAAATATATCGTTGTTGTATAATACCGTCATAGTGTCTAACGTACATAACTAAATTCATTACAGCCAGTCACTGACCCTAAAAAATGAAACAAACAACAACGGTAGTCCGAAAGATGTTGAGTCGGATAAAGATCTCGACAGCGCAAGTACGTCCAACTCTGGTTCAGGTATCAGTATGGTTGGCAAGAAGGGCAAGATCAAAGCATTCCGGAAGACTCTACGCAGGCTCGTTAACAAGTCCAATGTAGTCCAGCCAAAACACTACTTGTAATGACAAAATACAATGGGTTCAAATAATGCGTTTATTTAGAAAAAAATGTGTGAAACATTTATTTGAAAGGCGACATAGAAGTGTGTTCTTGCATGCATTTACTTATGCGTTGAGTTGAAGAATAAGCTGAATAAACAATAAGTCAGATATTTATATTTCTTGCTTTCCTCCTTTTACTTTTGTTATCATCTTTTCGATAGTTAAACATATGTCAAATCGTTGTAACAAATTTACTTAATTATGACGTCAATTTTCAGTATATTACGTCATAACGTGCAAGTTTACTAATATATGACGTCAACATTACGTTTCTGACGTCATTGTGAAGACTATAAAATAGAACGTTTAACGTCACCGAAAAGGACTATCAACAATATGTCTCCGAAGACTACGCTTCTAATCATGTGTGTACTATATTTACTGGATGTTGCTGTGAGTTTATGTGGTAATGAATGCCAGAGACAGTTGCGTGTAAATCATATCCAAAAATCCAATGGTATATATTCTTCAAATATTTCAGAAAGGAAATGGGAGTCTACTAAGTCTCTTTTCCGTGTAAAGCGTAGTGGAAGTAAGGTTTTCAAAGCGAGCTGGATTAATTTTGTGAACAAGAACGCCCCTGAAATGGATAAGTTATTTCCAAACCGTATGAAAAATAAACTTACAGTTGCTGGTCTTTACCTAGCAGCTCATAAATACTTCGAAGTTGATAGACGATACACGTTTTCGACGACTAAATATGAAGATCGTAAATTTTTCAAGCATTTTCCAATTCCACGCCTAAAGAAGCTCCACCCTACCGCGGAGAGAGAATGCAACAAAGGTGCATTTGAATGCATCACGCATATCTACAAAACCGCTATGGTGTCCGGATCACTAGCCAGCAAAAAAATCTTAGCCAAACACAAGAACTTGAAGAAGGGTTCGATTCCACTTGAGCATCCCTTTGACACAGCATTAGAGATGTTCCAGTATAGGACTACAGCCAGCTACTTCATGTGTTGGTATACGGAGCTCGGCGACGACCTTCTAGCATTCGAAGATAAAAAAGGCTGTCATTTTGATAGGTTCAGGTATTTCCAGGAAGCGGTTGACGGCAAAGGAATATATGACGCCAGGTCAGACATTTTAAAACAGTATATGAGTTTTTCGAAATACGTATCTCCTTATACTTGTGCTTATTTATGGTTCTGCCCGGACCCATGCTATGGGAGGAGTACCTTAGGAAATGTGCATGCTCATACAGTATACGACGATCCACTCAACCCGTGCTCGCGGCTGAAATACCGTGCCTGTTTCTGGACGACCGGCAATAACAAAAACTTCGAGTACCTCATAAAAAATAGAATTAACTATACATGTAATTGTGAAAAAGAACGGAAGGGTTTCATATGGTCACCAAAATATAGTATCTGTATTGACCAAGACGAGTGTTATAATGACGTAGCGAACTGTTCAAGTGACAAAATCTGCCGAAATACTATTGGGTCTTACAGCTGTAAGTGCCGTCGAGGATTCAAACTGAACACGTCTACAGACAGGTGTGAAAGACACGCCTTGTTTCGTCCCAAGTCTCACGTGGGCATGAAAGGGCGTCGTAATATACAACAGGAGGAAGATCAGACAGGAATCTGGGCAACTATTGACCGTCTGTTTGGCCTGAATTCATCCTCAAAAACACATTATAGTGTATTATTGCATACTGTGGTTACATTTCTGTGTATTGTGTTGCAGTATATTACATAATTTGAAAAGTCTCCCGTGAACTATTTGTACCCGTGTACTGCAGATGCATAGGCAGATCTAGATGGGGGCGGGGGGACATGCTGGGTAAAATTACCATTATTTATGGGAAAATGGACTTGCTGCCTGTGTATGTCTTCTGTATTGTCACTATTCGTGTAACTGACGTTTTATCATCCATGCTGCTGATTAAGATACCATTGAAAAAGCATCCTCTTATTTGTGTTATTAAATCAGATGTTATATACGAAAATATTTACTCAATGAGGGCGACGTGTATTTTGGAATGTGGACAAACTACAAACTAAACGAAAACTTTGCTTACTTACAATGTTATACCATGTTTAACAATACACAGAGGAACTCAATTAGGGACTGGATATCAGGTAATACAACTAATAGTCAGTGCTTAACAGTGTTACAATAACAAGCACTAGTGTCTTATCTTCCTTACATATATGGATCATTGGTGACTTTTTAGTCTATATAACGATATGATTGAGATTGTTTCTTGGTGTAATTGGGGTTGAAAAAACTGCTATGAAATTCCCGCGCAACACTAGATTGGTGTAAGCAAAGCGATGTTGACGTAAATATAACCCAGCAGCTGGTCATACAAGACTTACGGTCGATGTTTGATATGATTACCCATATGTGTTTTCGGAATTTGTCGTGTAAACATTGTTTCTCTCATCGTGAGTACGTGGGTAAAATAAGGTGGCCGTTACACTTTTGAGGCAGAAAGTGGGGGAGAAAAATAATCTATTACGCATGCGTGTTGCAGGCAGAAAAATCTCAGATTTTGTAGTTTGAAGCCTCCTGCTTTACGTACAAAATGATACCCTTGTATTGAGGTTCCTCTGTCTCCGTCACACAGGCATTATCTTTTCCTACGCCAAAACGGTAATGTNCCCCCCCACCCCACCCCCGGGTGTGTAAGATAGATGAATCTTAACTCGAGGAGGTGGGGGCATTCGTAACTTGTCAACGGTGAGACTTGTCAAATACACTGTTACATGTAGACGTACAGTTTTGCTCGTCTGTGATTCATTACAAAGCGATATCGATATGTGTAAACTGCAAGCAAACGTATGAAGCATAGCACACAAGTTGTAACTATAGTTTGTAATTATAAGCGTAGCATGTTTTTGCCCAAGTATGCATCAATATTGGAAACCATGGCATTTAACGTTTTAATAAAAAAAAAAAATATTAAAGGGTGTTGGCTCATATTCAACTGTTGTGATAATGTCACAGATCTATATTTTCTGAAATTGGTTTACAAATCGGTAAAAATATGTCAAAAAAACTTTTTCAAACAAATTAATCGTTGTAAAAAGGACCAACGAGCCGAGCCGGTATGGCTTATCTGTTATTAAAAGGAGTTAAAAGATTCCTCTCAAATAGGTGACTAAGAGTCACTTTGAGAGTAGGTCAAGGCAAAGTGTATTTGTAAATTCGATATTAAACAAGTTTACTAAGTATACTACAGGCTAAAATATATCATAATTTATCCATTTAGCTTGTTTTCCCTACGTGACCTTTAATACCGTTTAATGCCATTTCTTTTAACTAACCCTCGAATTAATGAACCGTAACACATTTGACCCCTGTGACATTGGGTCAATCGTCTTTGCGTATTGCAGAGTTATCTTCTCTTGGGAGCAGGTATTGATTGTTACGTCACTTGTTTGTGAGAGAAACGTCATCAATTTTTGAGAAAACAACGTAATTTTCTCACACAAACTAATGACGTACGTAACAATCAATACCTGCTCCCAAGAGAAAATAACTCTGCAAGACTAAGGATCATAATTCTGCCAGATGTATCGCAACAAGTCATCTATATGGCATTTTTTTATAGAAACAGACTATATTCAAAATCTCATCAACACCAGGGTAATAACTTGATAGTACCATTTACCTAAAGAGTGCACTTTTTGGCCTAAACAACATTAAGTTCCAATAAATGAGTAAGACATACACAGGTTGAAGAAATTTCATTGCATTAAGAAGTCTTTACAATGTTTGATGTATAGATTTGAACTATACATTGTAAATGTCATATATAGAAAGAAAGCATATACGTTTACTTACACCAGTAGTACTGTAAAGCTACAACTTTATAAAAAAGTTTCTGACAAGTCTCATATCTAATTTATCTGATTATATACAATCATTGTGCCACCAATGTCTGTTACATTCATACAACCAAGGGGTGTTTAGACAAATTACATGCTGTACAGTATTGAAGTATCTCAACCTATTAGTAATTAAATACATATACCATTTAACTGGACTTTTCACTTCAAAAATGTAAACTAACATACAGGAAGGTACAATGTATATGATGGACTGTCTGGCAATATTTCTTTCCCATATATTGAGCATTAAAAAAAATGTTGGTTCATAGGATACGACCAATTGTAGCAGATATTTGTACATGTACTTATCTTTTTACTATGAAATTTGAATTTGATGTTAATCAATGACCCATGACTAGGCCAATACAACAACTGTCCTCTGACCAATGAACCCCCCTTTCATTCTCGACTTATTTTCCAGGCTATACCAGGCATCATTTCCCCGACTCATTCATGACCAGCGTTACTATCTTATATGGTAATGTGCATCTGACTGAATATAATCATTCCTGTTACTCTCGACGTACAGTAACACATGTGAAAACTATACTAGTATTAAGAGCTTCCTAACAGAATACAAAACACAGGAGTCCACATTGACATTACACTGACTCATCATTACAGTGACTTCAGGATGACAGCGCTGTTACTGCTTCTTTGCACATTGTCACAGCTGTTTCGAATTCCTCTGTTTCCTTCAGTTCGTCAGCTTGTTCCTGAAGAAAACAATCCAAATAGTTAATACATATCGGTATTAACGCCATTTTGGTCTCTGTGGAGTATAACATTGAGATAGGTGCAAGGGAAATAACTCTTACTTTTTCTATTTACTTTAGAAATGGTGAACGAAATAAGAGACTCTAGGAATGAGGGAGGTCACAATACACCTGGAGTGTATCACCATATATTGCAATACAGATGGAGAATATTGTGATGACTTAAAAATGTATAAGGATAACAATTAAATAGTAATTGTTTTTTGTGTCTAAGTGTGAGCAACTTAACAGTGACTAATTACTGTTAACACCTACTACAAACTAAATTGATGAAGGTAACACAGTACACGTATAGTACTAAAGTTATTGAAGTAAAAAATGAAAAGTCACATGTATAACCAATACACTAGCTGTGTACATATTAAATAATGAAACAGTAGTTGAAATGTTTTTTTTCCTTTTTAAAATATTTACCATATACTTCTGGAGAACCTCTGGTCCTTCAGCAAGCCTTCTCTTTGTATCAGGAATCATGTCCTTGGATTCATCGAGAACTTCTCCCTGCAATTAAAGACATTTTGAAAAATTGGACAATTTAAATGCGAGATAATGCAATACTGTACAGGCTATGAAAACAAATGTTGATCAGACACACACACAACCGTAACACAATATTTGTTGGTCAGTTGTTGATGTAGGGATGGCAGTGACTATAATCATGTCTTAGATCACAACTACAATTTGTAAATGATTTGGGTCAAGTCAAGCCTACGATAGTGATGCTGAATTTGAACATTTACAGTAACAGAGTAATTTTGACAAGAGGCCCATGGGCCTTAACGGTCACCTGATATGTTTAAACAGAGAGTTCATTTGGTTTTTAACATGAACAGAAATATTGTTCAAAGTGACAAAAAATAATAAAATCACCTTATTCAATATCTAGCATACAGATTTAAGACTAAAAAGTATTTGAAACTAGCACCTCCGATTCTAAACAAGGAAAATGAAGAAAGTTTAGCACACTGACTCTTTTGGGCCCCACCCTACAGCCCTTGGAGTAGGGCTGGCTCAAAACTTTCAAAGTATCAAACTGTCAACTCAGGGTTATAATTCCAATCAAGTAATATTCAAAGATCAAGTAATATTCAAAGTATCATTTGCCATTATAAACCATAATAACTTTTGCCCTTTTTGGCCCCACCCATCAGCCCCGGGGGGTCAGTCAGGGCTGATATGTGCATACCATCAAACTGCTATACAATACTGATAATGCTAATCCAAATTGAATTACTTCCAATGGAAATTAAACAAATTTTGCTCCAAAATGTGATTTCCCTATTTAAACTGTAGTAAAGTTTACCCCCTCCCCGGGGGTAAACGTGAGACCCCAGGGTCATAAAATTCACAATATTGGTAGGGCACCTTAAGACCCTTCCATCTATGAAGAGTGTTTGATTCTACCATATCTGGGTCTTGAGGAGAAGATTTTTGAAATTTCAGTCAATTTGACCCTTTTTGGCCCCACCCATCAGCCCCTGGGGGTCAGTCAGGGCTCATATGTGCATACTATCAAACTGCTACCTAATACTGATAATGCTAACCTAAATAGAATTACTTCCAATGGAAATTAAACAAATGTTGGTCCAAAATGCGATTTCCCTATATAAACTATAGTCAAGTTTACCCCCTCCCCAGGGGGACACGTGAGACCACAGGGTCAAGAAATTCACATTTTTGGTAAAGCACCTAAGACCCTTCCATCTATGAAGAGTATTTTATTCTACCATATCTGGGTCTTGAGAAGAAGATTTTTGAAATTTTAGTCAATTTGACCATTTTTGGCCCCGCCACCTCAGGCCCCTGTGTGCTGGGGACAGAACCGGCCACTATTTTTGTTGGCCTTTGGCCATGGAAGGTTTCTGCAAAATTTCATTGAAATTGGTTCAGGGGTTTTGGAGAAGAAGTCGAAAATGTAAATTGTTTTTGGACGGACGACGGACGACGTCGGACAAAAGGCGATCGCAATATAGGTCACTTGAGACTTTGTCTCAGGTGACTTAAAAAACCCAGTAGCATTATTCATAGTTAAGATATACATGGATATATACATGACACATTTAGCACCTCACAGGTTAGAAGATCCTAACCAGCCCAATGTTACCATCATAAACCATATATTACGGTAAGGAATTGTGCCATTCCGTTGTTCGTCTTTCGCCCCGAAAAAGCCAAAAAAAACACTGAAATCTTGTTGTTTCATCTTTTCGCCCCCGAAAAAGACAAAAGTCTGAGGGCAAAAAGACGAACATGGAAATGGCACAAATCAGTGTACATATACATGTACATACATTGTTATTTTCATACTGCAAAACACATTGTCAAAAATAATTCTTTAATGTCCAACTTAGTCCAACTTAAAGACTGGTCATTGTAGTACAGGTAGACCTAAGTAAACATTTCAATACATAACCAATGTTGAAAAATAAAAAAAATAAACGGATTCAATATATATATACCTGTTTCTTTATATCATATGGATCCTTTCCATCTGTTTTCATCTTTTCTATGTGTTCCTCCTGCTTTACCACTTCCTTCTCATAAGAATATTTCTCCTTCGTTAATCTGTAAGAGCAAAAGAAACTTGAATGCTCTACAAACATGACAGGGGCAGCAGTGAAATTCCTTTATTCTAAGATCTAATAATTTTATCTGAAAGACCAACTCAAATCATGTCATTATAAAGGGCTATTGTGTCTCATGAGGTAATATATACATTGTACACACATTTTATTTATGTTTTTAATTTTGAGCACAGGGAATCTCCTCAATTGAAATTTCAAAAAGTTGGCAAGTATGAAAAAAGTTTTTTGTTGTTTCATTAATACATGTTTACCCTAACATCTTTCGTCCTCCCCCATCCCTACCAGAACCCCCTCCAAACTTTTTTTTTTATGAAATAAGCACTTTTTATTAGTACCTGATAGTTCTCTTAGAGCTATCAGGCACGGCAACTAGCTAGAAACCAACAACGAAATGAGTCTTTATATAAGAAGCAGAGATTTATCAGTATCTTAAAATTAAGGGGTGAAATTATTTAAACTCTGTTTAGCTACGCCTAGATAGGCCAAGAAATAGTGTATGCTTAAAGGTTGTCACAATAAATCAAAACAAGCAAATTCGTGGAATTTATATCCCCCGCTTGCAGGACATAATGTTGGTAAACATTATTGAGGTTAGGTTTAAACATGTGAGTATCGTGCTGTTGAGACATAATATATACATGTAGCTTGAAACTCAAAGAAAAAAATGCCTTATACAGAAGTTAAGAGTTTTTATTGAACAAGTAGGTATTACAGTGTAAATTAATCATTTAATCCATCAGAATTTACGAACCTCATTAATTATAAATATGCACAAATGACATCGGTTGGCAAACTTAGCATCAGTCGGATGTACATACAGAATTTGGTTGAAATATCTGCACAATATCTACAGCAATTATCACATGAAAACCAAAGAGTGCCCAAGATGGGTGGAAAGACAGAGGAACACAAACATTGTTATCAAGTTTGAAGGAATTTGGCTAATATTTGCTAGAGTTATTAAGCGGAAACTGCAGATAATGATGTTAATCAAGTGGCCATAACTCTGCCAAATGGAGTCTGATTAAAGTGGTTGTCCAAATTGGCCGAGCCCTTAATGCGATGAACCCTGTTACTAAGTTTTAAGACAATCAGATAATATTTGCAAGAGTAAATGAACAGAATTGGCAGATGAAGTTTTTCGTTATTCAAGGGGCCATAAATCGGCCAAATAAAGTCCACTGAAAGTGGTCAACCCTGTTACCAAGTTTGAAGAAAATCGGTTAATATTTGGTTTCCGCAAGTCCCAAATCTGAGGAAAACAGTTTTTAAAAATAAATTCAGTCTTCTAAACAAAATGTATTCAAATTGTAGTTTATAAATATATACATATATGTAGGTGTGTTGTGCAAGTTGAATCCACTATCCATGTTTATCTGAGACATGCCCTTTATTTTTAGGACCAGGCCATTTCTACTGTACTCTGCTACCTTATACACATAGAAATTTATTTTGTCTGAAAAAATGTCATATTATACTTGATTCAGCTTTACTTTCTTTCATTATTGCTCAAAACTACACAAAAACTTTCCAAAAAGTACATATATAGGTCAATATATAGGTCACCTGTGTTTTATAAAGAGGGGTAACTCGCCCTTTCCACAGGCACTTCACAATTCATCATATATGTGAAGATGTCCTGATCAGGTCCAAACCACACCACAAAGTCTACATACATCATTTTTGTCACAAAGAGCTGTCCCTGGATTTGAATGAAGTAGTTATGATTTTTTTTAAAGTTTTATATCTCCATTTTCATCTTTATATAAATAAAATGTTTTACACTTACGAACCTCTTCTATAGACTTGCCACGCTGACTGAGTGGGCATTTACATTCCAGACCTGTGCGTCTTCCATCGCTATGTTTCACAATGCCATCAAGACTCGCACCATAACCCGGCCTTTCTGTCGACATAAAAAAACCAGACTTTTCAACCTGGATATTTTCATGTCGAGTGGAACAGAGTTTAGTATACATATTAATTGCATCTTGTTCGTGGTCTTTGCCATACTGAAGATATTTTGACGATGGTTTGTCATATAACATTGCTTTTACCAATCCATTTGGACATCTGGAACATTTGACAATCCTACCAAAATTTGATGCCGTCATTTTACATCCATGTAATTGCTTCCACAGGTCATTCTCTGATTGAAGTTTTGTAGCTGATTCAATGTTATTTATATCCTCCTGTGTAATGGTTTCATTTTCAACAATGCTGTTCACATACTTAGCTACAAAATCTGCATTTATGTTTTCATCATCAACGATATTGGAATTTTCTTTTACAAAATCAATATTTGGTACATTCACTATATTCTCTGGAGCATCTACATATACTTCTACATTTAAAATAACCTGTTCAGTTTCAATATACACATCCTCACCTGGAACAATAAGTAACCTGAGAAGGGAGCAAACTCTTTCAGGTTTGTATGCAAAATATCCAAATCATTGTTATCCGATGTTCTGTGTTGGGGAGCTCTAGGATCAAACACACTACTCTGATTAAATGTTTTTGATAATCGATTTGATCCAAACTGTATTTTCTCAACTTTTATTTCTTTGACAGGTTTTGGGGGTACAGTAAGGTTTCGGGGGACAATCCAACCATTCAGCTTACTTGTACATGATACCTTGGCCGTGTTAGAATGTAAGCCATTGGCATAAAAACTGTTGACTGCAAAGAGTACTCCACCAATGTGGTTGCATTTACCATGT